CCACCGGCGCCGGCGAGGGAAGGAGCCCCCGGCCGGGCCGGGCCCGGCCCCTCCTCTGCGCTGAGGGGCTGCGGTGTGGTGTGACCCGCCTGGAATCGAGGAGGGTGCCGTGTGGCTGCGGGGCTGTGCTGCGGGGCCTTGTCCTGCCGTAGCCGCCCTGCGGGGTGTCTGGGGTAGCGCCGGGGGCCGTTTGCGAGCCCCTGCTAGAGGGCCAGCGGCCGGCACTCCGTCACTTTTCGATCTCGGTCTTGCAGGGCTTTTGTCCTGATCTGGGAAAAGGCACCTTCCAACATCTTCATTTAGCCATCCGAAATTTTATTTGTTGGAGGGAAGTAAAGAAATCATCATTATATCTAAAGAGCAAGTAAACAAAACTACATCAAATCAAGATAACGCTACCGCTATCTGCGCAGCATACTGTGCTGCTTATAGGAAAGGTTATCAATCTGCAGAAGATAATGTGTTTCACGTTATTCCAACTTGTCATAAACATGGTCCCTATAAACCTGTAATGTATATTATCAGTATCTGTTTAATTCTATTACCCTGCCACCTAAAATACCTTTACTAAAGTTTAACACGCTGCTTGTGCAGTTACCACAGTTAATCAGTTCAGTGTCTGCTGCCAATTTTTACATGATCTATATCCAATTTCCCATATATCACTTCAGAGTCTTGTGTACTTGCTTAACTTTATGAAGCAAGTACCTAATCCATGTAAAATCAGTGTTACTTACAATTTTTTATGCCATCTAAATCCATTTTTTTGGGGTGGACAATAGCATAACTGCATTACATCAAGTCAGGTGGTGAATTCTAACAATTAATAGGCTTTAATAAGACTACTTGAATAACTAATATAATTTTAATAACTTTGAATAACTAATACTGTTGGTCAACAGCAAGAGTGAGTCTGAGCTGTGGGAGAGCTGGGTATGACTTGTAGCTGGTGCTTTGACAAGGTCAGCTGCTGAATTTTGAAGCGGTTAGTTGTGTTCATTGGGAATGTAGGAATGTGGTATTTGTAATTGCTGTCTCCCTGTGTTCTTTATTTTGCCAGAAATATTTTGTGTAATGCACATAGGATTGTGTTTCTTGGTTTTGTAGCTGCATCAGAATAGTTGCTTGTAGCAGTCATTATTCTGAGTCTGCAGATTGGTAATGGCAACAGGGTTTCTTGAGCCAGTTAAATGCACCCTGTCTCCCATCTCCTCTTGTGACATTTCTTGTGCTCTTGTAGACTGGGCAGTTGTTGGGTTGGAGTGTTTTTGGCAAACAACATGGCAGAAAAACAGGGCGTGATGCAGAGTTGACAATGAACTGTTTTGACAGGGAGGGTTGGGAAGAGGAAGAGTTTTATGTCAGAATTGTTGTCTAAGAAACATGTGGGGAATGTCAGCCTGAGATTGATTAGTGTATTTCCAAACCATAAGACCTTAGGTTGTAGCAGAAACTCTCTTCAGTTTCAAGTTTGTGAAACTTGTGGTTTGTATTGTTAGATTTGATGATGTTTCTATGCCATAGTTAGATTGATCTGTTTCCATGCAGCACGGTAGTCCTATTCATGATGTTCCCAACTTGCCTAAAAAGTGATACTTTTTTTGGGGGTGTGTGTTAGGGTCATTAATTAAAGGTTTAAGTAATAGACTAAAGGAATTTCACTAACAGCTTCCCTTCAGCTTAATTTTTATTTTCAGTGCAGATTCTTGGTTTAGTTTTATTGTCTTTCCAGCCTGTTGTTCTAAATCTTCCAGTTCTTGTACTTAAACACCATTTTCCATTTGAACTAATGATTTCCTGTGTAAACTAATGTGCTCTAATAAATAAGCTGTATTTTCTTAACCTAAATGTCATCTACCTAGTTTATGTTACATTTCATCATGCTTTCATTCCAAAGTCTTCTGAAAGCAAACATCTGCAGTTAACAAAGTCATTTTTTCTTTCCTTTAATAATGGCATATCTCTATTCTTCAGTGATACTTATTAAAAATCCTTGCTACCTACCTTACAGTTTCATCTTCTAGTTCATTACTTTGACACTGAGGTGATTTTAGATTGTCTTTCCAAATTCAGTCTATTTAGCTTAACTTTTGCTCCTGATTCATATCCAGTAGTTTTCATTTCTGTCTGTGGTCATGAGAGTTTTACCCCTGTGTTCTGTATGGTTGTTGCTGGAAGCTGAGGCAAAGTGTTAGGTTGGCTTTGAGGCCTACATATAGAATTTCTTGACCTTGTGTTCACTGCTGTCACATCCCATTCCCTGTTTTTTCTCTCTGTATAACTGAAGAACCTTATTCATATTCTATTTTTTTCTCCAAAGTCTATTTTACCTTTCATGAGTTCTTAGTTTGTTCCTATATGTGCTGCCTTTGGTGGTATAGCTTTCTTTACTTTGATGAAGCTCTCTTTCCTTTTAGACACTCTCCTTTACTATTTATAAAGGAGCTTCATTTGTGTTTAGAGGCCTCCCCATGTGGGTCTTTGTTTTGCCTGTGCTTGTGATGCAAACCCCAGATACTTTCTGTGTGTTTGACACAGATGCCTTTGACAATACGGTTCTTAATCTTCTCGCTCCACTTGTCTTAACTGACAGCATACTTTAATTGCTTACTTTGTTGATAGAGTAGTAATTTTCCATTCATCTTAAAGGGCTGGTTAAATGTAATCTGCATTCCATTTTTCCATCTTTAAAGTCAATTGTATTTAATCCTTCTTGAGTTAAGAGACATTGAGATTAAATTTTGTTGATGTTTAATGCTGTTGCTGAACTAAGCATGCATTATTAAACTGATATTGTTTTCCTAATGTATATAAATCAGCTTTGTGTTCTTCCTTATTTAAGCTAGGTTTTTAAACGCATTCTAATACAGATTTCTTACACAGGTTTCACCGTTTTCTTGATGTGAACAGTCACAAAGTAGAGAGGACAATAGAAGGGTAAGTTTCATGCTTGTGGATTAATAATGGATTAGTTAACTTTTTTTAAACATTTTTGATACTGTTTTTGTTATTAGAATACATGAAAAATTGGTAGTTCATTCTGACCTTGGAAAAGCTGCAAGCTGGAAAAGACTAACAGAAAAATTTCTGAATTTGCCCCTCCCAAGTACTGAAGAAACGAAGGTGTGTATGTTGCAAATTCCTTGTTTGTTTTTTCCTGCATTCTTACTCACAGTGGGGACTTCAGTTTTAATGTTGTGTTGGAAATTTCAGATGATTTAGCAGTGGGGTTGCAGTTGCTGTTCAGGTCATGGATTTTCAGGGTTGTATTCTTTAGTTTTCCCATTTATTTTAGAAATGTGTTATTGTGTTATCAGGGTTTCAGCATGTGCAGTTTCATGACTTAATGGACACCTTGTTACAAAGCAGATGTTTTATGTACATTGTACAAATGTAGCTAGAATCTCTATGAATCTAGATTCCTGTCTGTTGTAAAACAACAGTGAACTGGGCATTTCTTACTCTTTGTCCATTTTTTTTTGTTTTCTTTAAGTAATGCATCTCTATGTCTTGGTTTTAGGATTTCCAGATGGACTGCTCCTGCCCTGTAGCTTCCTTATTGAGACTATGTATATGTTTCACCTTTGATAGACTTTGTATGAAATCAGTTTATGATGTGGACTGGATGAATATGGCAGAAGTTGTGTTGTTTAAACACTTTCCGGTGTGGTAGTTTAATAATGAATATGATTTTTGAGAACTGGAAGTTCCTGCTACTGGGAAATTTAAGCTTGTGATTTAAGGTGTGGTGCTCCATATAATGATATTCTTTGATAGGGCTGTGTTCTGAGTTGTTCGATTTTTTTACTTCTTGTTGAACTTACATTTACCTTTCTTTGCACTGTTCTAGGTTCCCTCTAATTTTAGGGGAAAATCCTGGAACCCTCAATAGCTTACACATATCTTCAATTATACTGTAGATTTTTATAAAAAGTACCTTTTGCTGTGCTTGTTTTGAGAGCAGAATAAAATGAAAAACAAGCAAACCAAAACAAAAGCTCAAGCAGGCACACTTGTATGTTGCAAGTATCCTAAGACTTGAAAGAGCCTTTATTTTATTTTATATTTTTTTCCATTTTGAAAGTGCAGCTGGGATATAGCTGGAGATATCATCTCATATTTGGGAAGTTAAACTGCATTTAGTTTTTATCAGTGTCATGTAACTGGAAAGATCGAGTATCATTTTTATCATTAGTAAAACACTAGCTCGCACGTGTGATTCTGTCAATAACCTACTAGTGCTCTTGATAAACTCTTACAGAGTCAGTAATGTTTAGTAGAAACATGTTATATTCCATATATACTAGATGAGCATAACGCTCCTTTATCAGAAATCTGAGATTTTTTAAAATACAAGTAGATCTCATTTCTAAACAGCTTTGTAAGTGTGTGTGTGTGTGTGTGTGTGTGTGTGTGTGTGTGTGTGTGTAAGTATGTAGCATGTAGATAGCAGAATCTCCATATATCTACGTATGAAGTGGTCTACTGAAGAACTTTGGAAAGTTAGAATCAGACCAAAGAAAAATTTTGCTTTAGTAGAAATGGTTGTTCTGGAAGCAGATATTAGAGAATAGACTATAACACAGATCTCTGCAGCATACCAGTGTTGGCACAGTATTCTAACCTGACTGAAGGCCTCTGTTTTCACAGCTGCTTTAGTGCAATATTGGAGTTAAAGATGCATCCTCAATGCTTTGTATAGATTTTCAGATGAGGGAAGATAATGTGAATGTGTTCTTAAAACTGAGCGATTTTGGTAAAGTGTCTTAGCTAACTTCATTTTAGCCTCCTGTTTGAGATAATCAGGTGTACGATTAAGGGAACTAAGACTTGGTTTCCTGCAGGCTCGTTACCTGTGTCCTTCCCCCTCATCCATGCCAGTGGAGCTGTCCATTATCCCTTGTCCTCTGGTGACTTCTTACTGTCATAATACTTCAAGAGTTCTTATTTCTCTTCCATATTCTCAGACTGTCAGCTCAGTAAGAGGCAGCTTATGCTGTGGCTGCTTTTGAAGTATATTGATTGGCTAATTAGGAGGCAAAAGAGGAAGCATAATGTTCAGTATCATGTTGCAGATGTTCTTTTTGTAGTTCAGGACTGGGGAATGGAAACTAATGTGGAGCATTCCTGCAGATAATATGCTGAGTTTGTTCCTAAACAAAATCTTTTAGACTACTTACTGACTTGCTTTTTTTAATGTTTTAAAGACAGATACACACTATTCCATACTGTCTCTTCTGTTGTGTTTGTCTGATTCTCCATCCAACACCACCTATGTGGAAAAACCAAGAGAAAAAGAAGTGGGTAAGTTTGCAAGATGTTTATGTTGCTAATAAAAGATAGAATCCATTAATGCAATCTCATAAGAAGGACATTTTTCCTCTCCATTTTATTATCTCCACTCCAAACTGCTTTATTCATTGTCTTTTTATGATTTATGCCTGCAAATCTTTCCTACCCCCATTTATGTTACATCAGCTAATTAAGTTTTCCAGTCACAAAAGTACCTTGGGAACTCTTTTTGACCTGTACTGCTATCACTTACATTCTCCGCCTGTTCAGCTGTGGCTACATGCTCAAAGACAGACAGTGGGTTTCCATCCTCCGTGTCTGTCTTGCACCTCAATAGGAGGTCTGTTGAAACAGTTTTGGTGATGTAAATTCCGATGTTCCCTGTGCAGTCAAGGAAAGGGAGATTTGAAGGTTTCTAGAGGGAGATCTCAGCTGCCTGCTTTCTGAAGTAGGACTGTTTCACTCAGTGCCTAAAAATGAGTCTTGCGCTTAAGTTTGAGTGCATACCATCCCCCATTTGTTTACAGTGTTGTATCATAGACTGAAAGAGGAATATTTCAGACTAACCTAAAGAAAATCTTGCATCTTAAGATTCCTTTTTGAATGATCTCTGCACATTCCCTCGGCGGTGTTTTGAATGCACTTTCAGCCCATTCCAGGAATGTGAATATGAAGAGGTTATCTCAAACAGCACTAATTACAGTTGAGTAAGCTTCATGTTTAAGATATAATATATTGTGTGATTGTTATTTTTAAAGTATTACACATCACATCATGGGTATTTGGTGTCTTTTCCGGAGAGTAAGACAGTTCTTGCTTTATGTTGTTTGCAGTCCAGGATCCTTGTGCATATGTAAACTATAAATTTAGAATGTTTCCACCAAGCTAAATGGGTCTAGTCGCAATAAGTGATGTGTTGCATTCTTGCATGTTTTTCCAGGGTTGAAGCGTAGGGTAGTATAACACAGGACAGATAAATGTGCTGATGGCACGCTGTGTTGCGTATTTTGAGTGTGTAAGTAACAAAGTTGAGAATAAATAGATAAGGAGTATATGTGGTTGATACATCACAATTTATGTGTCTGAAAGTGTATAACCTTGTTAAAGGAACAGTTGATGTAACCGTAAGTGGAAGGGAATGCCTTTTAGATTTAGAGTAACAACATGATTTTAGCTTTGGAAATGTTTTTAAAGGACAAGGAAGTCAGAGTTTTATGATACTTACTATTTTTATCTTTATACTTCTAGAAAAGGAAGAAGAATTTGATTGGGGAAAGTATTTGATGGAAGGAGAAGAAATTTACTTTGGCCCAGGTGTAGATACACCAGTAAGTAATTTCTGAAGGCTAAAACCCCATTTTTGAAGTATGTGGAGACCTGATTTTTATACTCTCTATGATTCTCACAGGATTACCTGATATGTTGCTTCTTAGTCAGTGTCAAGAAATACACACAGACCTAAGCAGAGGAACAGTAAAGCAAATGCTTTTGTTCTTCACCGTGTTCTGACTTAATCCTGAAGCTGAACTGGTTCCTCTTGCTGACACCTGCCTGCTCCTAATCAGAACTTGCAGCTCTGTGATCTTCTCCACTTGTCTCATTTGTCTGGTTATTAACATTGTGTATAACTTAAACCTGTCTTTGGCAGACAGTGATGTTAAATCTTAGTGTTCTGAATTTAATTTGGAGTGGCAGAAAGAAAAAAATGAGTTCATGCTCAGCTTCTCAGGTCAATAGGAAGTGAATATACATCTGTCTGTTATGTTGTACTGAAACATAACTGGGTTTTGTTGCCCTTAATAGGATTGGTCTGGAGAAAGTGAAGAGGAGGAAGACACTCAGCCTTTAAGCAGGGAGGACTCGGGTATTCAAGTGGACAGGACACCTTTAGAAGACCAAGATCCCAATAAGAAAACAGTACCTAATGTTTCCTGGAAAGGTTGGTTAGAATAAGCTACAATTCTGCTACGGTCATACGTACTCACGTTTAGCAAGCTAATGTGGCTTAATTTATTATTTTTTAGTAAGATGTGATGTTTTAGACTTAGAATTGTAGTTTTAAGGTGCACCTTAGTGTTCACTTGTTTTATTTTTAACAGGAAAGAAGCAATATGGAAAGTTTGATCTGATTTCTCTTGATGCTGATGGAGAAGACTTTTGTTTATTTCTGTAGAAATAGAGACATTCCATATAGATATGAAAACTTACACAGTAAATATAGCATGTGGTTGTATAGAAATAATGTATATTTTTAATACTGCGTATCAGAATGCTGAAACTTTTGTTGGCAACAGAAACATTTGACTCAGTTCTGGGTATGAAGCATTTCTGAAAAAAAAATAGTTTTATTTAATTAAAACATTCATGGCTTACTGTTGAATAGCTTCAGGGAGTATTAACTCTAGCTGTGTATTTTTGCAGAGTATTGGAGGATAGAGGATACCTTGTATAAGAAGACTGCATAATATTCATATGTTGTATAAGAAGTAGCTATCTAACTGGGATTAGTAAAGTTTTCTTAATAATCACATTTAAATAAAAACATTTTTAGGTAATGTACTAAATGCGTAGCAAAAAGGAACGTAGTGACAGATTTGGTGATATTTGTCAGTTTATTTTTCAAATCAGCTTGGTTTTGTATATATCCTTTGAGAACTGCCTGAGACAGAAGCACGCTTCCTGAGGAAGAATTGGAAACTGCATAAATCTCGCAAGTTTATCTTTTAGGACTTCTGCAGCTTTTAGGAGATGAGGCATTTCAATATAAATGAATTTGTGCATGGTAGTATCATATATGTGAGTGCATTAAAGTGTAAATAGTTGTAAATTGTAACTTATTTGAAAAGATCTCTGATTCTGCAGCTGAGTGGATAGTCTTATTAATAAAACTTTTGTATGTGGTTTATGAGCATTTCCTGAATAAATAAAAATGTGTCACCGACTGTCACATGTGTTCACAGTTGGTGAACCTGATGTTCGCAGCTGGCTGGAGCAGCATGTAGTTCCTCAGTACTGGACAGGAAGAGCCCCTCGCTTTTCACATAGTTTGCACTTGCATTCCAACCTAGCTGCAGTCTGGTAAGAAAACAGTATTGCTAACATATTCCTTATTGTCATATAATGCTAAATAATGACTTTATTAAGCATCTTTATGGTGGAAGCATGAAGATAGTATAGTTACTATTGATTTAGTTAAAAACAGAATTAAAAAGGTGTGAACTAATAAGTTGAACAAACGAGCTAAGTTTTCTGTTGATAGATTCTTTTATTTAGTTTTTACTGTATTTGTTGTATCAGAAGGTTTTCCTTTTTCAAAGAAGCAAATCTTATTGTTGAATTTTGTTTGGGTGGACCCTTACAAAGATCTCTGAGGAACTAATACAAGTGGGTCGTGGAAATGAGGAGTTCCCCAAAGCTTAACTTTTTGTTTGGTTTTGGTGCGTCCTTTAAAGATTTACTTTTAAACACAGATTTTGGGAAAGGAACATGAAGTGGTATATTGTTGTGATCTGCTGTGGTTTTGGAAAGAAAATGAGAAGGAAGTTCAATTTAAAAGGAAAAGAAAGAAAAGCCTGATTCTTCTCTCTGTTTTCTTCCCTCTGTCCCAAATTCTGATGTATCAGTATTGCAGTGATACAGATCATTAGACTTGTCTTTGGTTCCTTAATTTAATGAATTTCTTAAGGAGTTAAATTTATTTTAGTGTAGGTTGGTTATCTAGCCAGTTATGAATGAAAATTTGCAGTGAATATTAGGAAATCAGTAGCATAAAGCAATGATGTTTCTGTTGCAATGTTGTTAGCAGATGTATGTTTTTATATATATAAAAATAAAACCAGTATTACTTAATTTGAATTTGAATTTTGAACATGATTACCTAAATTCTGCTGATGATGATATTAATGGGTCAAAATACTGCAAATGCAAATAATCTCTACTTCGCTAAAATATGAAAAATACTGTGGAAGCTTTACAAAAAATTATGTAACACAGAATCATAAGAGAAAGCTCATAGGTGGCTGTGGAAGTTTCCATTTCTTAAGTAAACCTCTGTGTTAAAGTGTGAATTTTCATATATGGGTTAGGGAAATTGGTATCTTTTTATCTTAGTGGTTTTAACAGAAAGTAACTATAATTTTTCAAAACACTTAATGAGAAATAAAATAATCAAGGATCAAGAATTTAAACCATCCCCCCAAAACAAAACTGCAAAACCCAAATCAATGCAGATTCAGTACTTCACATATTTGCTACTGAATTGCTTGTCTTGCTATGTATGACTAGATGATATTTGAATACTTTCCATAGTATTTTGCTTAGCAATATGAAAACAAACTCTGCTTTTGTTTATAGACTTAAAATGCCCTCATGAGCACTGAATCTACTCAGATAAAATTAGAACAAAACTGATCCTTAAGGTTATTCTTCATTCTTACTTTCAGGTGGTTCAGCTGTTATTTCTGCCATTAAATTGTTTTCATTCCTTTTTTCTAAGGGACCACCACTTGTACACCAGTGATCCTTTATATGTGCCAGAAGAGAAAACCCTAGTCACTGAAACTCAGGTTATACGGGAAACTCTTTGGTAAGAGCAACATCACAAAGCTTGTATTCTCCCTTTTAGTGTTTCTCTCAAGGAAATGATTTATCTTTGAAGTTATGTCTGAAGAAAGAATTATTACTGAGCTTTTTGCTTACACCATTGCTGACAATAAAGATGCTGCTTATATGTTAACCACTCACATTCACAAAGAATGAAGTGGCTTACTATTGCTTGTATGCATTGATTCTTCATGTCTAACTGTTAAGAGGAGCCAACTTGTTCTTACCCTGCCTCTATGGATTTTTAATACAGTGTCCAAACTTACAAAGTAGGTTTGAGTCATCCTATAGCTGGAAATTATCTCAACTGGAAAGGAACTTTACGAGATGTTTACTGTGTTTTTTTTTGTTCTTGGTCTAGCAACATCTTACAGTACCAGTAGTTGTAGTTGATCTGTGGTCCCCTTTTATTTGAAGAAAATAAACTTTTAGGCAAGGGAGAGCTAATTCTTTTATTAACTATATAATTATGAGTCCATTAAGGGGGAAAAATGACTACTCTTTTTGTTTCTTTTCAAGGTTACTTTCAGGAGTGAAAAAGCTTTTTATATTTCAGCTGAATGATGGAAAAGTGGCTGTGCGGAATGATATTATTGTAACACATTTAACCCATGTAAGTTGTTTCTGAATCTCTGCTGAATATATTTGTCATTAGGAAGATGTAATTTTGGGGAATAGGAAATTAAACTGCCTGTGGAAAAATCACATTTCCATAATTGTGTTTTGACTAAATTAAGAACAGCTGACTTAATAAAACTGAATGGGCTGTTCCTGTATCTGAGAATGTGATGAAGCAGTAGAGATTGCAGAATTTTATTATATTTTAATTCATAGAAATATCTTGTGATTTAATTTTTAAACTTTATAAAACACAAATTTTTATTAGATTATTTAAAAAAAAATTATTTTTTCCTAGAATTGCCTGAGATCTGTATTGGAGCAGATAGCAGCATATGGGCAAGTTGTGTTTAGACTACAGAAGTTTATTGATGAAGTGATGGGACACAGCCCTGAAAGCATAATGCATGGAACAGTTTCCACTCCAAAGAAAACTACTGAAGCCCCGTTCAGAACCTACCAAGCTTTTATGTGGGCCTTGTATAAATACTTCATTAGCTTTAAAGAAGAACTTACTGAAATTGAAAAATGCATAATCAACAAAGGTACAGTGCAAAGGCAGTTTTACAAGAGGGGGGCACACAAGGAAATTTTTAGAAGAGGGAGACATGAAAACCGTTATGGAGATAGTTTGAAACTGTGAAAGATGCCATGCTGCATTTTAAAACCTCATTAATAACACTGACAAAATTTGATCTGTTGGATGCTACCTTTATATATATTTGGGATTTTTTTCCAGATAAAACAGTCACACTTTCAATAGTAATAGATAAGTTGTCTCCCCGACTGGCACAGCTGAAGGTACTTCACAAAGTTTTCAGCACAGGAGTAGCAGAAGTGCCACCTGACACTAGAAATGTTGTACGAGCATCTCATCTGCTTAATACTCTCTACAAAGCTATTCTTGAATATGACAGTGTTGGAGAAGCATCTGAGCAAACGGTAGGGGAAATCATTCCTTCCTTAATAGAATGACACGCTAGAAAATGTAGTAACTTAAATTTCTTTGTGGTGATGGAGTACCCTAGCCTTCAGCTACTGAGGACCAGGGTCAAATTTGATAGCCATAATGTATTACTATTTTCTGACAGGAGTTTGCTCAACCTGGGTGAAATCAGATTTTTGAGATCAGCAGCAGTGTTGTTTTATGACTGAGGGAAGGAACTGGGGAGTTAGAGGCTGGGAAGCTGTTACAGAAGAGGGAGCTTTGGAATAGCTTTTCCTCCTATTTCTACAGCTGTATAATTCATTTAATGCTGAAATGTAGGCTTTTGGGGTTTTGCAGTAACTTGATTATATTACTGAAAATATAGTGGATGTCATTAGGTCCTTTTGTTTTCCTGTTTTCTGTGTTATAAAACCACAGTGTTTTATGATTATCCCTTACTGTTCTAGAGATGTTAGAGTGAAAAAAAATTAAAACTGCTGTTTGGGTCTGAGTGTGATGACAAAAGCAACAAGGGGAAGCATGCACAATGTGGGCTCCCATTAAAACTACTAAAGCTCTAATTTTTAGTTTAACATTTTATCTTTAAAAACCCTTAATTGTAATTACGTGTATTTCAGAAACTGTAATTGCACAATTAAGAGGTTAGCTTTGCCATATTGTGTCTTAATGCTTCATATAAAAACATTCAGACACTTTTTTCTTTTTTTTCCCCCCCTTTAAATACAGGTCTCCCTTTTGTTTTCTCTCTGGGTTGAAACTGTGAGGCCATACTTACAGACAGTGGATGAGTGGATAGTCCATGGAAATTTGTTTGATCCTGCAAAGGAATTTATCATTCAGAGGTAGGGATGCTGATACGGGACAAGCATAATGCTGTGCAAGTATGAATATAAAACCTTCCGTAGAACGTAGAAAGGAAAGGGTGACAACAAAAGTAGGTTTTCACATTTGTTATTTTACTTAAGCAGAATTAATTTCTTACTCATACTGTTACAGCTTGTCTCAAACTTCCCATTAGGGATATTGCATTGTATATGGAGCCCTAACAGGTATTGTGTGGAATAGAAATAAATTGTTTTATTTTTTCCATCCATAATAAATAATCAGCAGTCTGACTTTGAGTGTGTTGACTTTTTTAAAAGCAGTTAGCCTTGTAGTACCAGCTAATATGGTGTCTTGAATTACATGCATATATCCTAAACATTATTTGACCTGTTAATTTTTTTTTTCTGTTTGTATGCTATGTTTTGCTGGTCCCCTTTTTGACAGCTTGAAGTGGAAAGTGAATGTAGAAGTTAGAATTTTGGCTTGTAATTACAAATCCATTTCCCCCTATCTGCCAAACCTAATCAAACCTATGTCTGTTAAGGCAGGTCAAGGTGAGCATGAAGTAAAAGAGCAGCTCTCATGCTGTTGTAGTAAATCCTTGGTAGCTGAGACTTTTAATATCCTTATGTGGTTCTGTGGTTGCATTTTCAGCACTACCAACAGGGGTGACTTCAGCTTTTATTTATATGTGTGCTTCATTTTAATTATCTAATTTAGGTTGTTTTCCATCTTACCTCAAAAACCAAACACAAAAAAGCAAAGTGAACTAAGAATCAAGTTTCACCTATTCTAGATTTTTTTCAGCTTTCCCAGTACTATTTGCATAATTGTGGGTTTTAAATAAATCTGCAAGTCAATCACTAATCAGTTTGTTATCAAGGATGTATGCCACTGTGAACAGTTAACTTCCTGGACAAAATTAATTATAATTACTCTATTTGCCTTGTTTTGGAGGTTTATTGGGTTATACAGTTGTTTTATCTCTGGTGAGCTGATTCTTTATCCTGCTAAAGATGTCATCAATTCTAGAGGCGTCTAGATAGTTTGTGATATGAATAAGCTTATTTTATGTAGCTTTGAAAGTGTTTCTTGACACTATTCTAAGAGAAAGGCAAAGCAAAGAGAAAAGATTATATGCATCTTCTGGTAATGAAGTTTCATCTTTTGAAATGGAAAATGCTCAACAACTTTTTATTTCTTTGCAGAAACAAAAATGTTCCAGTTAACCACAGAGATTTTTGGTATGCTACCTACACGTTATATAGTGTGTCAGAGAAGACGGAGAATGAGGAGAAGATGAGTGATAATGCCAGTGCCAGTTCTGGCAGTGATCAGGCCCCTTCAAGCAGGCAACACACTATGGTCTCTTTTCTGAAACCGGTGCTAAAGCAAATCATCATGGCTGGAAAATCCATGCAGCTGTTGAAGAATCTCCAGTGCAAAGATGGCTCTCCGCAGCTGGCTGCATCAAGAGGTGAGATGTCAGTTTTTGGACTGTCCTGCCTTGAGGTATCTAACTGTGTGGGTGTATTTTTTTTGTAGTAATGTTTCCATGGTTTTAGAATAATGTAACGCCCTATGTTGAATACCAGTATTTTAGTTGGTAGCTTCAGGTCTGATTGGAAACACTTACTCTTCCAGTTCAAACAAGTGAAAAGAGAAAAGTGAATGAAGATTGAGTGTTCCCTTGGCTTTTTATTGCTTCAAATTTTTGTTAAACTTGTTTTCATGTGTGTGCAAAACTTTGATTTTTTGAGACAAATGAAAACACCTTCTATGTTCTAACAGTAAAGCTGTTTTGTTTTCATAAATAGTTGTTTTCCATTACTGTGTGGCTGAATAATTCTGAGATAGTATGTGGAATTTTTTTTCCTCAAGAAAAAGCTTACTCATAGAGAAAAGATACTTAGATATTCAGGATATTTGTCTTGAATGATTGTAAAACATAGTACAACAGTGTAAATAAATCAACAATGTTGATTTTTTTTTTAGGAAACAAATGTTTTGGTTTTGCTGTTTCTTGATGTTTAGAAGTAGATGGTTAAATTGCTTTGGAGACTCCAGGTTTATTTCCCTCTTTGTGAGAGTATAATCTATTCTAGTGAATACTGAAGGGTTGTTTCAGCTGCTGAGAATTAACTGCCTTTGCACCAGAAGGAGGAAGTTCTCTAACAGTCTTAGAAATATTTCATATTTTGGAGACCCATTCAGCAATCCATTTGAACATATGCCTGACCTTAGGCATTGGAGTAGTCCTACTGTTTTAGCAATAGTTATTTAAATATGTTTGGTTTTTTTTTTACTGAATAGTGGCTGAATTTAGTATGTTAAAAGATAGCAAGTAAATATTGGACTATGGAGTTCCTCTTTCAGTTCAGATGATGTTTTCTCTTAGTACAAAATCTTACTGTGGAATGTATTGCCCAATTTAGATGCTGAACGAAAGAGCTTGTATACGCTGTTCTTGGAATCAGTGCAGTCTCGTCTGCGGCATGGGGAAGAGTCTGTTCCAGATATTATTACAGAACAGCAGGCCACAAAGCAGAGCCTGATAAAGATGCAGTCTATAGCAGAAAGACACTTGGAACTGGATGATGTCCACGACCCACTGCTGGCTATTAATTTTGCCAGGTAAATGAATGAACTTCCTGCTGTGTTATTGAGAGCAATGTTCTGCCTGATGACATTTGGTAGATGAAATTTTTACTGCTGCTGCTGAAAACAAGCAAGCGCAGAATAAAGAGTACCAACAGTGACAGAAGCTAAATAAACACTACTCTTGTGCTTAGTTAAAGAAAAACAAAATCATTGAACAGTCTGCTGCTCACATCTGTTAGCATAGAAGATGGGAGTAGTCTTTATCATAACAGGCTTCTAGCAAATAAGTGTTTTAATAGTGAATGCTGTTGTAAAATCTGAGCTTTTAAATGTGTTTCCTTGGAATCTGTACATAATGTCTTTGATTTGCACCAAGTATATTCGTCGAAGAATGCAGCTTCGATTGTGCTGTGCTCAAATAATTTAACTTTGAAGGCCTTCCAAAGTTCATGTTAATTGCATAAAAATTCTTCATTCTTCATAATGAGGGAAGTCATACAGAGGTTATAAATGTCTTGGAGATTAGCAGGAAAGGACAAACTCTGAAAATCTTACTTATTTTGTGATTACAAATAAGAAAATTGCTATTTATGTTTTCCTAAATACTAGTTGGTGACTTAGGTGTTTTCAGTCTTAGGAGGAGTTTGTTTTAAAGAAGCGATAATTAATAGTAGATAAAAGACTCAATTACTTTCCTTGTTCATTGGGACTGTTTTATTTGTCAGAACTGATAGATTATTTCAGTGTCTGACTCATCCAGTCTATCAAGGCAATAGCTGCTATGAGCCGCCTTCCTTTTACAATGGATTCAGCTAGCAAGTAGCTTTTCTTACTCTAAGTTGATCCTTTCTGTGACAAAACAAACTTACCAAGTGTAGACTGCATATACTCTCTTCCCATAATATAATAATATAGATGACCCCATATTTAAGGTGCCCCAAACTAATTCTCTGTGTGTGTGGTGGTTTTTTGTTTGTTTGTTTGTTTTTTGTTTGTTTGTTGTTGTTAGGTTTTGCTGGGTTTTTGTTGTTCAAATTTTTACTTTGTTTCTTTAATTTTATTTTTCTTTTCTGAGAAGTTCATCCGACTGCTGTATGTGGACAGTACAGTTTTAAAACTTCCTATGAAAATGGTTTTGTTTGTTAAGCTGTGTAATGTTTGAACTTAACATTGTTTTTCAGAATTACTCCTTGAGCAATTACGTGATTACGGTATGTCATCCTTCTTGATATTCTTATGCCTGGTCATATAAAAACAGTATGAAGGATCACTTAATAGGCTTGATACTAGATTTATGAAACAGCTTTTATTATTTCTGCACCATATATTTTAGAGCAGAGGATCCAATTTTGATTAAAATCTTTGAAGAGATGACATTTTTCTTCCATATATTGTATGAATCATGACCCTTCTTCCGTAAATAGTTTGTTTTATTTTGAAGGTTGTATTTGGAACAGAGTGACTTTCATGAGAAGTTTACTGGTGGGGATGTTTGTGTGGATAGATCTTCAGAATCTGTGACCTGCCAGACTTTTGAACTGACATTGAGGTCCTGCCTTTATCCACACATAGACAAGCAATACTTGGAATGCTGTGGTAATCTAATGCAAACTTTAAAGAAGGATTATAGGTAAGGAAGTAGATTTGGTTTTCTTTAACATTTTTTTAATCACTAAAAGCAGGAATTTTATTTTGTGTTTCTACTCCAGTTTGATAATCAACAATAAAATTATTAAGGAGGAAAGGGGGAATCTAATCTGATCGAATCTGAGTGAAAACTTGGTCTAATTTAAATCAACGGTCTTCACTGGATGCTCTGAAGGGAAATTGTTTCAAAAGTACTTTTAATAGTGTTGTCATTGGAAAATGGAAGACAAATTTTAGTAAGCCGGAATATATTTGTTTAATATGAGATTCAGTTATGATACTGTAAAATCAGACAGAAGCATATTATGTAGTAGTTCTATATTACAGAGTAAAATGACCTATTCCTTTTACTTTTCATAAGTCATTATGGTTTTAATCTGTCTGAAGTGCTTAATGTATTTAGAATCATGGTTCTTGTGAGAGTTGGAGCACTACTATTCTTCCTACTTTATCCAAAAAGGAAAATCCACATCATAATTTTCTGGGGCTCCGTATTAAAGTCTCTTCTTAGAACTCTCCCTGAAATTGCATCTCCTATGCTAAATTCTGTTTTGGGAGAGGACAGGATTTTCAAACTCTAAGCTATTTTTAAAAATTGCTTAGCCTGTAAGATAGCTGAATACCATGAGCATTTCCATTGAAGTTACTGGGGCTATTAAGCTTACAGGAAAAAATGGCTTGGTTATTTTGTTTTATTTGAATGTATGTGAAGGCTGTCTGAGGATTAAGCAAGGAATTTACTGTGGACTTAATTGTGTTCGATACTGAGTTCTTGTAGTGAAAAGTTTTAATTAAGATTTTTGTTTCTATAACAGTTGTGTTTGATTTCACTTGTACAGTTAAGACAAAGCAAATGTTATATGTTTGTTCCCTATTTAGGCTTGTAGAATACTTGCAGGCAATGAGAAACTTTTTCTTACTTGAAGCTGGAGATACCATGTATGATTTCTATACATCAATTTTTGACAAAATTAGAGAAAAGGAAACTTGGCAGAATGTTGCTTTCTTAAATGTTCAACTTCAAGAAGCAGTTGGGCAACGCTATCCAGAGGACAGTTCCAGGTAAAATGCAAAATCCTGCAAAATACAGTTTAGTTATGCTTCTTTCACACTTACCTGTACTAATGTACTTAACTTGCATAGTGCAATACTCATTACAAGAATCTGTTTTAATGTAGTTTTGAGCTGTTGTCATCTATTCTATCCAAATCCACCAGATTAATTCAGACAGTTGGTATTTAGCAATAAGGAAAAAATAGTAATTAACCACTCATTTAAAAGAGGTTATCACCAATTAAATCACTTGTTTCCTTGCATAGGTTGTCTATATCATTTGAAAGTGTTGATACAGCAAAGAAGAAACTCCCTGTCCACACCTTAGATGGTTTGACATTGAGCTACAAGGTAGTGAGTTAATATTGTTGTAATTCTTATTCCAGAACAGATTTGGTATGTTGCATTAGTGATTTACGTTTTCTGTCTTCTCTTCTTCTTAGGTTCCTTGGCCTGTGGATATAGTTATAAGCTTAGAGTGCCAAAAAATTTACAATCAAGTTTTTCTGCTCTTGCTGCAAATAAAATGGGCCAAGTATAGTCTAGATGTTTTACGTTTTGATGGTAAGAAACTTCTTCAATGAAAGATACTCTAAAAACTTGTTCTGTGGTCTAAGGATATAGTTAGTCAGCTGTTTTCTGCAGTAAGTAGTATAAACCAGTGAGAATTTTGATTCAGTCTATAAAATACTAATCTCTATCAGCTTTGCAAATTAGACATATGAAGCAGGGCATGTTTTTCACTTCTTTTCAGCCTCAGGGACATTATCTATTCATGCATTCCTTTTGTCTCCTATGATTCAGGTCTAGTTAGTTGCATTGGAAACTTACTTCATTCTTCAGACCTTGCTGTTGAAAGAAGGTCTGTCTACCACACCCTAATGTTCTGCTTTATGTGTAGTCCAAGTTTTTATGAGTTATACTTTGCAAACAAGTTAAGAGAACAAAATAGGACAATAATCTATTTGAAATTGAAACAGTAAGATAAATAGTTTGGAATAATACTCTAAACTACAGTTGAAATATTTGGGATCGTAGAAGGAGACCTCTTAGTTATCATTAACCTTCACAGGTTAATGTTTTTAATTCTCTTCCTGTCCCATATAATGTCCTGGAAATAAATTGGAAATTTGATGAATTGGTTCATCTATGTTTTGTACGTCAGTTAAGTAATTATCTTCCTAAAAATATGTGGTTTTCTATTATTTAAACTTCATGGGTATGACTTTGTGCTTAAGTTTTTTCCCTTTTGTGGAGATAGTATACACGTTTATTTTTTATGTGTTTTAATCCTTTCACATAATCTTTAGCTCTTAAATAACATTTCCTATTCTAGTATTTATCAAATTGCACATATACTGTCAAAATATTCAGTATGTTGTTGCTATATTTTAATAACACATCTGAATTGCAAGAAAAATCTTAAATCAGTATTGTGTGCAGAATAATAAGAAATAACAAATTCCAGTTTTAAGTAACATTTTTGCTAGTTTGTCTTCATAAGCGCTTCAATATAATACTCTTGCCTTTTCTTTTTAGAACTAGTCTGTGCTGCAGAAAACCCACAGGTTAAGGAAGGAACTGTATCAGAACAAGGAACACTTCCTCTATTTGGACCACAACCAGAAAGCATAAAACAACAAATACATCGCATGTTCCTCTTAAGAGTGAAACTTATGCATTTTGTTAACAGCCTGCACAACTACATCATGACTAGGGTTTGTCTTATACCACAATTTCATTTATATTAAGAATTTGTAACTGGAGGTGATGCACTATCAATTTTCATTTAAAACATAAACACCAAAAATAAAATGCAAAATCTTAGTCTAATGTCCTTTCTGCAAAATGATTTAGAGCTAAACATGTTTCAATTTTAACTTGGCAGTTTTAAGTCCGTAATTTTAAAAATTCTGCATACATATGATTGACCTTCAGATATTAGTTCTTTCTGACTGTTTCTCCCATGCTAGATGACTGAAGCAAAATCATGTAAATAAAGGTTTCTGTAAGCTGTCTTAAGAGCTATAATGCTTACAAAAGTGTAACTATAGACATTTTAGTTAAATGAATCCTTCTCAGAAATCTCTAATACACAGATCTAAAAGTATATACATGACTTCTCAAATTTAAAGGCAATGCTTGTAGATTTGTATCTGCTCTACTATTGCCTTTTTTTGCCTTTAATAAAACTATGTATACTCCACATCAGCTTCTCCAGGGATTGACTTCCCTTGTGCAATGGCAGTATTCCTATTTATATGAGGAATGTCATCATTGTGCAGTTATGAGAAGAGCTTGATTTGTGTGGTGTTTTGTTTTTTTTTTCTCTGTATTGATGGTAGTTTGGAGGGTGAGCTTAAAGTGTGGGAGGTAAGAGTGAATGAATCAATTTTAGATTCTTAAAAAAATACTGGAAGAGAGTCATAAGCACTTGCATGCAACGTGGAGTTTTATAACTATGGTCTTCTCTTTAAGATTCTTCATAGTACAGGCTTGGAGTTTCAGCATCAGGTAGAAGAAGCCAAAGATTTAGATCAGTTGATAAAGATTCATTACAGATATCTATCTACAATCCATGATCGCTGCCTACTGAGGGAAAAGGTGAGTAAAAAAAATGGGCATATTTGGTATATTGAGTTTAGCAGGACAACAAAATAGTTTAGTACTAATTATGCTGCCTGTTTTGCAGTTCATACCTACTAAACATACAGGCACTCTTGACGAAATGGTAGCGTTTCCAGAGTTAACACTGAGTTTCCCTTACAAGTCTCAGCTCACTTCTATCATGGAGAGAAGATAAAATTAAATGATTTATATTGGATTTTACATGACTCATTTGTTTCTAAGAGATGGGAAGATTTGAACAAACTGAAGCTTGGTAATGTAGTGAGAATGATACATACTAGTATGGCAGGAAATAGAGGTACGTGGATAGCATTGTAGCCTTTTATCCCACATACAGTCTGTGCTTAGTCCTCATGGAAGTAGTCAGCCATGAACTGAACTAGAGAGAATACAAAACATATCTTAAATTTGGAAGAATTTGGAAGAATCACATTGTATTTAGGAGACTGTTTTTACAGATCAGATTGAATGGCATGGGATACCTTTGTATTTCAGCTTAATAATGGAAATGATTGTGCTTAACAATGAATTTCTAACTGTTATTCCTTTTGTTTTAATTGTTATTTTAGGTGAGCTTTGTGAAAGAAGCTATAATGAAAGTGTTAAATTTAGTATTGATGTTTGCAGACCGTTGGCAGGCTGGTTTGGGGGCTTGGAAGTAAGTATGATACCTAAAATTCTACATGGTCATAATTTCACAGCTCAGAATATGTTTTCAAAATATTTTTTGTGTGAAATAACAAGACTTTGCTCAATGTTTAACAGCAAATACCAAAGGCTAATTGCTATTTCTTAGCAAAAGTAAAATCTCTCTTAGATAGAGCTTAAGAAGTTTCATGCACTTGTGTCAGTGTACGTTCAGTATTTTCTAACTAAAAAGGTGGTCAATTTATAACTTTTAAGTGTTATTGAAAAGATTGTAGGGCATAGCAACAAAGAGGGTTTTCTTTCGTATTTGTAATGGTAAAATGAGAGGTTCACAAGTTCAGTATGAAATGTTTCTTGGCTAGGATTTAAAATTGTAGGCAGCTGGGTGCTGACATTCATTAATTGGTTTATGAAAAATGGGATTGTTTAGTGGTATTCCCTTCTAAAATGAAGGCCCATTTTTGTTTTCTTAAAAAAAATCTAAATCTGATCTCTAAACCTCCTTATTTTTCTTAGCTGAACCGTCCAAGTTATAAAGCCTTTAAAAAAAAAAAAAAAAAGTAAAAATATAAAGCTGTTGAAGTTATTGAAAGTTCTGCTTTTGACTCTGGACTCAAGATTTTCATGCAGAATGTTTGATTCCATTAGTTCAAATGCTCACATTCTGAAGTTTTTGGTCTATCCTCTCCTATAGTACCTTTTCTGTAGAAACAACTTGGGATGCGTGTCGTAGTTGTGATTTTTAGAAAAGATTTGTGTTTCCTTATATGCCATGATTGAAGTTGGAAACCCACCTGTAATTTCCAAAATAAGATTAATGTGTTGGTCTGTGAATCAGTTGTTCTTCTCTAAGCCGTACCATAGACTAAATTAAAATTAAGATTTGATTTTTTTAGAATAGAGTAGAATATTTCAGTTGAAAGGGACCTACAACGGTCATCAGGTCCAACTGCCTGACCAACTCAGGGATGACCAAGTTTAAGAACGTTATTAAGGGCATTGTCCAAATGCCTCTTAAACACTGACAGGCTTGGGGCATTGACTGCTTCTCTAGGAAGCCTCTTCCAGTGTTTGATCACTCTCTTGGTGAAAAAATGCTTCCTAATGTCCAGTCTGAACCTCCCCTGCTCCAACTTTGAACCATTCCCACATGTCCTGTCACTGGATCCCAGGGAGAAGAGACCAGCACCTCCCTCTCCACTTCCCCTCCTCAGGGGGCTGTGGAGATCAATGAGGTCACCCCTCAGCCTCCTTTTCTCCGGGCAAACTAGACAAGCCCAAAGTCCTTAGTCACTCCTCATAGGACATTCCTTCCAGCCCTTTCACCAGCTTTGTTGCCCTGCTCTGGATGTGTTCAAGGACCTTTAACATCCTTCTGAAATCATGGGGCCCAGAACTGCACACAGAACTCGAGGTGAGGCCGCACCAGTGCTGGATGCAGGGGGATAATCACCTCTTTTGCCCGGCTGGTTATGCTGTGTTTGATGCACCCCAGGGTGCGGTTTGCCTTCCTGGCTGCCAAGGCACTGCTGGCTCACACTGAGCCTGCTGCCGATCAGCACCCCCAGATCCCTTTCTGCAGGGCTGATCTCCAGATACTCCTCTCCCAGTTTATACTTCTGTTTGTGTAACCCACTGCTTGAAGGGTGAATGATAGTGGGCAAGTCTCCAAGGCTGTGTCTGACACTCAAGAGTTGATTTGTGGCCCTGAGGCCAGCCGGTGTGGACTGGCTCACATCCGTATCTTTCAGGGCTAATTTGGCACAGATAGTACCTAGAACTTGGATCTCATTCTCCTGTGGCATTAGGAAGTTGCTATTTTTGAAGTGCTTTTCCAATTTGAAGTGTCAGAAATAATTTGTCAAGGCTGTTGATAAAGTCTGAAACTCAGGGCATGTGGTTACATGCTCTTGGATGTGGCAGGAAAAAGTCATAGCTGATGTAGTGTCATCCGAATCCTCTTGGGAGAGGGGAAAAAGGAGACGAGAGACTCCTGTGAACTACATTTTCTCTCTTCTCTGGTGAGCGCTAACTGGCACAGTCCAAAGTGGAATTTAAGAACTGGCTGATAGTAAAGCAGTGTGGGGATCCCTGTTGTATTTGCCAGTGTAGGTTTACCCCAAGGAGTTCTGAAGCAATACTGACCAGCAATGGCTGCCTTGAAATCCAAATCTACATAGGAATAATAGTGGTCAGTTAGCACCATGCAGTGCTTCCTAGTTACTGCAGAGATTTTGAAGATGATGAGGAAATGAATGTCACTGTGGTATTCCTCAGATGCTCCTGTCGAAGTTGCCTTTGTTTTCTCGTGGTATGCACAACCATAACTGAAATATTGTAAGTTCAAGCCAGAATGCTATGCAAAGAGTACTTTTGTCATTTACTGTGAAGTTTTGGTCATACTTTGAAGATAACATAGTGGGTAGTCTGTTAAGCATTCTTCTGTTAAACTGTTTCATAGGATGGAATCCATAGAGAAGATGGAATCTGATTTTAAAAACTGTCACATGTTTCTTGTAACTGTTCTCAACAAAGCTGTCTGTCGAGGCTCTTTTCCTCACTGTAAGTACATGAAGCTTTTCACTGACCTGCATTTCCTGGGACACAAGCTTCACTAGGAATGTATTTGTACTTTAATCTGTTCTAATGTTTGTCAATTACATCTTAGAGAATCTCATTTTGTGAGGTATTCACAGAGGGGCATGAAGCCTTACTTAAGAAGTTAACCATCATTTTTTTTAGAGTATTCATGCCATGCTTTCTTTTTTTAATGACAGTTATCCTCAATTTACCTGTTTTCTTGATGAGGGGGTGGTGATGTAGCCGAGCAAGTGATAAGCAGTTTTCCAAAGAAATGAATGAAACTAAGTTCTGGAGGGCATAGAAAAGCAATCTTTTTATTGTTGTTGCATGACAGATGTGATATATCTTGAACAGATAAAATTTTAGTATTATGGTGCCTCAGCTGCGACAGCACCGAGCTCTTGGCTCTGCTTGTCTGTTGGAAGTTACTTCTTTAGTAGCAGGAACAGCAGAAGACGACATGTCTGTGCTTCTACTTGCAGCCTGGTATTATCTTAAATTGTTAATTGGTGTCAGTTTAAGTTAGGGGGGCAACTGCTGAATGGGGTTAGCTGGGATGTAGATGCATGTTCTAAGGGATTTCTAAATTTCTAATCTGACATTACTGCTACTCGGTCCACTAGAGGTTGTCTTCAGGAACTGTCTGTGAAAATGGCTTACTGCGTATAACTCCCCACAACATTTATTTGGTTTTTTTGTGTACAACAGTTAGTATTTCAAACAAAGAAGCTTATTTCCTACCAGTTCTTACCAGGTGAAATAACTAACGGATAACTGATGATGAAAAGTGGTAAAATATTGTCTGAACTGTTGGACATTTATAAAATGTCATACCGTCTTAAATCCTGAAGTGTTACAATTTAAAAAATAAACTGTTATCTTCCTTTTAAACTACAGAATTGAATATTGCAATAAATATTTGAGTATATTGCAGAATTATATGCAGATAGTAACTACTTTTTTATGGTTTCGTTCACAGTGGAATCTTTAGCTTTGTCACTGATGGCTGGCATGGAACAAAGTTAACACCTGAGTCCATTGAATTAATAAAGAACTGAAAGCAGCACGTATGTTGAAATTCCCTAAGTTAAAAAACTGTAAGCATTCTACACTCCAGTTTGAAATGTGTGTAGCTAAGTGACGCTAATGGTTTGGAGCTGTGTAAAATACTTTAAAATGTAAATAATGTACAGGTATTTAAGTGTATTGATCATGGCAGTATTTTTTCCCTGTATGTATATGCTTCAACATCAAAGAACATGTACAGTGTAAAATTCATCCCATGTAAACAATCTAACTTGAAAATACATAAAATGTATTTCATGCTGTAAAAAGGATTTATTTTTTGTTTAATTATGAGTAATTCCTGATATAATTTTGCAGCTGTGAATAGGTCATAGGGCATTGTGGATTGGTGTGACTTGATATTATTCAAAAGGTTGGTTGAGTTAATTTTTGTCCTTTTTTCCTTTGAACAGAGGATAAGAAGCATTCATCTTTTTTGCTTAATGGTTCTTGAGAACTTTTGGGGAACAATTATGACTGTTACAATAAGATGATGTAAAAAATACAAGATTAACTTGTCAAAATGAATTATCGCATACCATAAAATACCAATATTTTTTGTTATATGATCAAATACTTACTAATTTTAATCGCAACTCTTGTCAATTTAAGTAGGATCATGGTCACGGTGTGTAATATTAATTTTTACTACTGGATTGTTGAGATGTTTCAGAGGTTGTCAGATATGACTTGACTGTTCTCCTAAGCATGTTGCAAACAAATCTTACGTCTAATGGCTAGTTCTTGTAAAGTGGTAGATTGTAGCACGGGAAGGGTACAGTTCTAGAGAAGTAAATGTGGAATGTGTTCTGCACAAGATGACTTGCCCTGTCTCCTCCCCATGAAAGTTTCTCTGTAATTCTTGCATCAGTACATCTGCCCTTAAGAAGAGAAAATCAATCATAGACATTTACCAATTTATTTATTTGAATAAATACAACATTTAGTAATTGGAATTTTGTCATTGTGTGTGTTTCTGCTGATATCCAATTGGTAACTTAAAGTGTGAGGTCTGTTTCTGCAAGGTAAATGAAGTATATATATTGCTACCAGCTGTGAGACTGTGTGACTTGCATTATGAAACTGTTTTTTTTTTTTTTAGCTGTGAACTAATAATTACTTTATATGAAAATGAATATTGGGGTTCTAGTCTGAATGTTATTTCAAATTATAGCCATAAAATGGTTTTAGGAATTTTTTTTTTAAGTATAACACTAAGAAGCTTTTTCTGCTGCCTTGTAGCATGTTCTTTTTTGCTTGAGTGGAGGTTTTCCTATGGAGGACATTATGTTTGTATTATACCTGCTGTTGTATAAACTCTGCTACCACATGACACACTTCCAAGTGGATGTTTTTTGTGGTAGGTGAACACCTATTAAGAAAAGTAATTTGTACTTCCAGTTTACCATGACTGGCTCTCATTTGAATTTCCTTGGTATTTATTGCATGCAGAGACAGTGTGTATGTTTTGTTAACTGTTTCTTGCTCAGATTAATACTGAATAGCATACTAATAGTTTTAAAAGGCGTACTTGTGGTTGGAAGTTCAGTGTTTGTATGCACTGGTTCACTATGTTTTGGCTATATGTATGTCTAGTACTCTGTGCTTTTTTTAAAAGAATCTAGCAAGTGGTTGCTTTATTTCTCCTTTCTACACAGTGGTTACCTTCAGTGAAATGATTGCTTTTCGTAGACTTACCTTGGATAATCATTTCTAGATAGGGGAGAAAAAATCCTTCAATCCTTTGTGTGTTGAAACAATAATTCCTAGTAAATCCCTTGCAGATTTTACTTATTTTATTTGAAAGACCGCATGCAAGTGGAAGATTTTACTCTTTCACCCAATTTCCTGCAAGGAATTAACCTTGCATTCTGCAGGGAGAGGTGGGTAATGCCTACACACCATTTTTCAGCCAGCTTCTAATACTTGTTTGCTCTCCTGCTGTCACTAAAGCACAGTGGAAAATCTAGCTCTGGCAATTCTAGTCATGGACATCCTCCATGCTTAGCTTTTTGCGTGTCAGTAATACTCAGCTAACAGATTCCCTTGAATGAATCTGTTGTATGGCATCCCTTTATCTTTCTTTAGAACCACAGAAAAATAAGTCCTTGCTTTTAGTGTACATGCCGTGTAATGCTACCAGGACCTTTTCATCACTCCCCTGGCAGTAGTTAAAATGGCTATTTATCTGTTTGGGGAAAAAGAAAGCTCTTAGTGAGTTTTTGGATATTTTAGCTGTTTATTTGCTCAAATTTCCTTGTAGTGTTTTCTGATTTCTTTACATATTTCTTTATGTGGATTCTGTCCTGGGTCCATTGCTTCTGAACATTTTTGACCCTGTTTCCAAATTCCCATTTTTGAGTTCTGTCTGAATTGATTTGAATCTTAATTTTTGGATACTCTTCCTGTTTAATGGAGAAGACCTTGCATTTGATTATGCTTTACTTGCACTTCTAGAATTTCACGTAAGCAATTGCAGATGTTAGAAAAATGAGGCCTAATTTATTGCATGCATGTATAGATTTAAGGGGATTCTATCATAATCTTATTTTTTTGTAAATTGTCAAGTCGAGCTAAAAGAAGGCATTAAAAAATATGCTTCCAAGGGTGGTATCTTCTAACTGAAACCCACTTTTTTAAAAAAGCCCACTAGGTGGCAGAGCTTAATGTTTCAAGGGAATTTTATTAGTTGATCTCTTTCTGAGCTCATGATTGTTGCTTTCATAATATCAAAGGGTTAATCTGTATTTAAATGACAGAAGTCTTGTGTTTTCCCCTAATTATGTCTGATTTAAAAAGCATGAAGTAAGAAATAATTATAGTTTAAAAAATAATTAGTATAGAGGCTTTTGTTTTCTCTCCCACAGTAACTCATTATCTGGTTATAGTCATAGCCAGACTATTCTGATCCTAGAGAACTTGAAAGAGAAAAAACTGTTAGATCCTAGTCTCAGCCATATTCTTCTGCTTTATGCTAAATACAAAAAGGCCTGCTTGGGTTTTTGAAACATGAGAATAAGTACTTAAATGATGTACAAGGGATAAGTGAGTGGCTTTTAAAAGCAGCACTGATATGGATGGAATGGCAAACATGGATTTGGGTGCTTAAAAGTAAAGATTTGATTAGGTGATATTAGAGAAGATTATATTATTCACAGTAAGATGTTATGTCCGATGTCTAAAAATTCTTTGGAAAAGAACACCCTGCATTATTGGATGCGGTCACAGTTTCATCTATTCTTCATTTCCACCTTTACTTGTTCTCTTTAACTTCCATATAATTTGCAGCATAGAAGCCTTTATCTATCCGATTCACTACTTTTCTTCCTTTTCTGTGGGCTTCTGTAATTTTTAGGCCACATTTTACTGCAGATTTAGTAAATTTTCTAATGCTTCCTTTGCTGTTTAGTTTTAATGACGCCTGATTAACCACTAGGTCCTTGAGGACTTTTGCTTGTGTCAAGCTATTGATCTAAAAAAAGTTAGCAACCAGTTGTTGATTGCATGGTTTCCATGGTAGCATAGATTAAAGATAGAGTCTCTGAATTGCAGGCTGATTAAAAATATAAAAACATCCCTCTGACATGCTTTTTAATCTTTTAAACTCCAGAGATTTACAAATTTTCCAGCTTTCCTCCTATACTCTTTTGCACACTTACAAACACGCTTTCCTCACTGATAGCATTCATATTTCTTGAATTGTGCAGTGTCTTGCTGCAGTGTGCATTTATTGTTGGGATAGCTGTAGGGGATTGCAGGTCTTGGGGTCTAGATGACTAATAAAGTTACCAGCAGGGTGAAGAGTGTGTGGGGTGAATTACCTCTGACATCCGTGCCCTAGTTTCTGTACTGATGTTCTGCATGAGCAAAGTGGATATAATTTATAATAGACTCGAGAAGGGGTTTCATGCTTCATGTCTGTTGTGGAGTTGGCAGGTGAGCTCTGCACAGTGTGCAGCATTCTTGGAAAGCAGGGTGGGGGGACGTGTGCCTGTTACACAGATGAAGAGTTAAATCCCTCAGAGTTAGCAACAGAACTTTTGTCTAGTGTTTCAGGGAGCTAGAAAGCAGAACTAGGAAACCCTGCTTGCTCAGATCCATTTGAGATGGTGGCATTTAGCACTTGGAGGGAAATGGGAGCCAGAGTACTTGCATGTGTCATCGGCTGCTGGTGGATATTTATGAATATGCAACATGCGTGATGTTGTCAGCTGTGCTCTTGGCAGCGTGTGTGCTCCCAGGGGTAGGAATCTGGCTTTTCCTGGAGTCAGAGGTAGGTGTAGTTGAGCAGATCACTCTGCATTTGCGTAAGGCCTGGTGAAGTGGAGAGCTCCTGACAGTGATGGTAGGAGTTACGTTTTAATGTAGCTGGGCAGGCTTCCTGCTGTGGGCAGGTTCTCATTTTCTAAACTTGCTGCTCACTGAGACTTCTGAGACACTTGCTGCTTTCTACTCGTCTCTTCCACTTAAGCTTTCCCAAGTGCTGTGCCCTTTACGTAGGCGTCTGTCTCCTCCTGAGAGGTGAAACAATGGGTTTGTTTTATGTAGTGTGGAAGCATGTAATCTTTCTGTAGCCTTGCTGTGCTTTAAACTGTTTGCCATGTCTGACACTGAATGAAGTCTGTACTGACTTCTTGTGCGAAAAATCTTGGCCAGTACTTTAGAATATGGTCAAGTGGCTGGTGTTGCCAGAGATTGGATTTAATTTTAAACTGATTTTCTTTGTTTTTAGTTTTGCATCATGTCCTGTTCTTGGAGTCATTGCAGCCATTGCCAGTTGTGACTTCATAAATACTTTTCTGGGTCAGGTCATGACAGTTGCCTGTGCTACCTTACCTCCTTTCTGTGGATGAAAAGATTTCTGTGGACTCAGCAGGTTTAAAAAAACAACAACAAAAAAAAGCTAGATATGCTATTAAGCTTAATCGCTAAAATGTCAGAGTGGAAATGTGCAGAACCAGAGAGTACATCAGCACCTTAGACATGGCAGATACCTCCTGGCAGGACCATGATATTCCTGTTGAATCTCTCAGGCTGCCGTGGAGTGGAAGTCTTCTGTGGATTCCTGTGGGCTCTTGTGGAAGATTTTCTTTCACCGACTTTGGATAAATTAAACCCAGAGAAAGAAATGAAAATGAAAATAGCTGGAATTCAGGAAGCAGACTTGTGGGTGTCTGTGGCTAGCACAGTGCCTTGAACAGAGGCTTTATCTAATCTGCAGACAATTTCATTAAGCTTGTTATGACCATATTATCTG